GTAAATCCAAGGGCTTCACATACTTATTCTTGCCACTGGAGGAACTGGGAGAATTCAGAGACAGAGGCGTAACATAACGGCCGAACGATATGCAAAAAATTGTGATTATTTTGGCAGATTGCAATTACGATGTGATTTTTTGTTGGGGCATGTATCAAACAAATATGTTTCCTACATCAGGAGACTATGATTTGTGGCTGGAGCATCTCTGTAGCACCACAATGCTTCCTTCATGGTATGTTGTGACACATTTTACCTTCATCAAACAATTGCACCTCCTGTGATTTGGATGTTGTACTTGGCCATACGGTGATTTCGATATGTCGATTAATTGTTCAGCCTTATTCCAGGGAAAATCTAGGGAAGGATACGAAACAACCTATACGTATGTTGAGATTTCACATGAAAATAGACCATGGTTCAATGATTAATTTGCGTTTCTGTGTAAAAACATCCAATACAAGTTATCACAAGGCTGATGTGTTCTGAATGTGACAGGAAGCTGAAACTGAACGACTGGGCAGTAAGGGCGTCGGTCAGAGAGGTGACAAAGATTCAAAGAACCACTGGCAGAACTAAAGTTTTGCTGCGATAGCACATTTTGAATGACAGTAGTTAGAGCAGCTTTTGCTGGGCAACATGTCAGAATACTGAAAGACATCACTGCTCCAGAAACAGCATGACTCCCAGAGAAGACACTGCTCTGAAACAAGGGATAATATAACTCTGTAACTCTCAGCTGTAATGCGCAGCAGTCTGGAGGACAGTTAACAACATCCCTGCTGTAATATAAAGCGTGAAGGTGGCAGTCTCTTGCTGTGGGTGCTCTTCTCAGCGCAGAGGGACAGGGGAACCTGTGAGGGTGGAGGAAGGATATATGCAGCCAAATGTGAAGCCGTATGTTATGGACAGTTTATGTTCCCGCACGAGGGATATGCACCGACCTCAGTCAGAAGAGACTGTTTATGAATCCAGAGTCCCACTGATGAAACGCAGATCAGCTGTTGGCGTAGACTTATTTTGGGTTAATGCCCAATTACAGTGGAATAACTGTATAATTGGTCAGCCCTCTGGTTATGTTGATGTCTGTGTCGGAGACAGAAGTGCAGGAGGCGCTGGTTGTAAATAACATACACACTGATTAGTGAGTGGAGATGTTTCAGTCTGATTTTGATTGGATAATATGAAGTAAGAAGGAGTTTCCTCTTCTTGCCTGATTTGATTTAAAAGAAGAGACAACTAAATTGTGAATGGAGAAGAGCCAAGAAGGTGGAGCTTAAATGATTAGATTAGAAGTTGTCAATGAACAAGTAGAAGCAAGAGATTTAAGAATATAAAATAGTCTGCCTGGCTGCACTTACGCTAAGCTCCATATTAAATCACAGCCCTTCCATATCACTGCAGTGGCTGCAGGACAAGGAAGTGACAGTCCTTATATGACCCAGTAAAAGCCAGGTCTTAAATCCCTTTGGAAAATCTGTGGAAAGACCACAGTATAGCCGCTCACAGACGATTCACTTTCAGCTCGACTGAGCCAGAGTGACTGTGCTCTGAAAAATGGGACGAAAATCCTAATTCAGATGGTCCGGGCTGATAGAGAAGCAGGTGTCATTACCGCACAAAGCATCGATATATATGATGGTTAAAAACTGATATTTATGTGATGCCAGTATTTCATTCGCATCATGTCAGAAAAACAATTCTAAAATCTGAAAATCTCAGTTTTTAGATTATGTTGCAACAATACACAATGTGAGGAAAAGTCAGTGTGGCCGCATACAGTCTAAATGCACCGCATATCTTTTTATCTTGCCGCTCTGTGTCAAAATTCATTGCGAGCTACAGTGGTGAAAAAGCTCAGACGGGCTTTACCTGTACCAAAATCCTAACAGAAAGTGTTTGAAAGTGTGGGATTGCAGAAACAGGAAAAAAAGGGGACACAGCACACAGGCCATATCTCTCCTCAAGCCAAATGAAAACTCTGAGGGATGCGTCAATCACAAGACTAGTCACAGTGACGGAGACAGTGAGTGAGAGAGTCCAACAGCCAAAAGAGCCAGCTGCCTGTGGGCCCTTCATAACATGACCTTGTCAAGGTCAAGGCTGTTCATACTGAGCGACTTGACTTTAAAACCTTGTAACAGGGTTGTTACAGTCAAGAACGGACGAGGGAGGGAGCGGGAGCCCCTTAAACGTGACTGTTTGCACATTGTCTCAGCAGCATCTCCAAACATGAGAAGTATGTTTCTCATTTGACAGCATGAGGCTTCACTAGCTGCAGCCAGCCATCACCCTCACCCCCACACGTACAGACTTGTAACTCCTTACAGACTTACCCTAACCTTAACCACTACATCCCTAACCTCAAGCTTTACCAATAACCAAAACATTCAGTGGTTGACCTTGAGGGGACTAACCGTTTAACCACAAATGGGCAATTCCTCATACTGTGATTAAAATAAGTTCACACACCCTGTGAGGACGTTTATTGACATTCCTTCACTCTTAATCCGCACTAATCATTTTCTTTTATATTAACAACTGATCAAGTAATCATTAGTAATGACACAGTGACAATGATCACCCGACTGCAGCTCACAGAGGAGCATTTAGCTGCAGGTATTTCCATTTGGAGTTAGTGAAGACCAGAGCTGTAGCTGCAGAGCGAATATGAGACCTACATTAATCAGGTGGACGAAAACGCTGCTTTATGTCTGCTGGATGTGTAAATAAACAACTGCTTACTGACATTTATGTGAGCCACAACAACCTCATGAAGTGGTGATATGTCAGTGTTGTGTTTACATCTTGTTTTGTTGCTCCCAGGTGGCCAAAAAAAAAGCTGCAGCTTGCTGCTTCTACCACCTCTACAATTACAGTGAGGGCCAAAAGTCTAAGAGGTGCCAGAATCCAACACTTCTGAACCTTAACCTAAATCTAATTCTAACTGGGCCCTTAAAACCAAAGGTATCCTGTGGAGTTTTTGGCCACTAGTGGCAATATGCAGCAGTGGTTTGATAATGTCGCTTTGTATCCTGTATCTTGCCACACAAACTGATGCACATGTACGAACATGAGCGCATGGGAAACAAGAAAAGCCTCACAGGGTTTGTTGTTTAATCGTCAGTCGCCCTTGGGAACGCACATTTTGGAGAAAAATGTTCTTACTTTCCAGTAAGCATATCCTTACTCCCTAAAGTCCTCACAAAGATAAATGTCCAAGAGCACACACGCTCACTCACACACACACACATATATATATATATATATATATATATATATATATATTCAGTAAAGCTCTCAAGCAGTCACGGGATCTTGTGACAACAGCAGGTGCACCTAATTCCATATAGAGGGCAGCTGAATGACAGATATAAAAGGACAAAACTTAATTAATAGCTGCATGTGATCCTTGGCAGTAGAATGGTTGGTATGTTCTATGGCAGATAACAGACCACCGGGCTGATCAGTTGTGTACTTGGGGCGAGACTGACAGGTCTGCCAGGGGGTCATGGCAGACATGAAATTGCCTCTTGCACTGGAGTGATTGTGGAGATATACGATGCGCTTAGTTCCCGTCTGACATGCAGTAAATGCATCATATCAGCTGTGACAGGGTGTTGTCACATTGGGGAAAGTGAATCCGGACTTGTCATTAGACCTCGTAATATGGTGCTTACTACTATAAATGCAACACGTTCCACTGATACACAAGTGACAGCTGTGAAAATGCTGTGAGGCTGCATGTTAGGATCCTGCGGTACCTGTAATGAAAGGCCGCTCAACAGTAAATGATGCTAAAATGCATAATTAAGGAAAACTGGAGACACAAAGCGGTGCCTTCATTGCACATTCATCCCACAGAGCGTAACAAGATATCTGCTCTTTAGCCTGTTTGAAGTACGTCATGCATTGCACTTGAGAGAGGGTGAAGATCACAGCCGCTGACTCTCGCCTCTCCACATGCCTCAGTGTGTTCTCCGACAGGTCATGTATAATTTTCCCATCAGTTTGGGGACAAAGAATGCACTTGTGTGCCCTTGATTACCGCCCCGCCTGTAGATCATGTTCGCCTGGCACGCACAATGTGGAGTCCTTGCCGGCAATTAGAAAAATGCATTATTTAGCGACAGGGACCCCCTCCTCCCTTTCATTATTCACCAACATCAAAAGGTGACAGTTGAAAGCAAGTTGAAGTTCACACACGCCAAATCAACCGGGGAAACTCCCAAACATGTTTACGCATTCACACAAGTACACACACACACACACGCACGCACACACACACACACACACACACACACACACACACACACACACACACACAATGCTAAACTTGCAGATGCATTCCCTCTCAGCGTCCAGCCTTGAGGCCCTTTCCCTGCGGCTTATGTAACGAAGTAGCAACAAAAACAAACGGAGGTCTCTAAAGGACTGCGCTGGTGTTTTTGCATGTTTTTGCATATTTACAAATCGGGTACTCTTAAAATTACTGCCAACCATTTTCCAAAACATGGCATAGCTCTTTTGGATTTTCAAAAGGATTATCCATCCTGCCAGGCAGCTTTTGCATTTCTGTTAAATTTAAAGAACTTTGATTTAGATCGTCACACAGAACACCTTCAGGGTGATAGTTTTGCATGTGTTAAAGAATAAAATTGAAATGGTTCCTTCATGAATCTCCTTGGGGACTAGAGATGTTTACAGAGTTTTTTTCTATGATGTTCATGATTTGTTCTCTGTACGCTGATATTTGTTCTATAATTTTTCCATCACTATAACTTTCTCCACATTGGAACAAATGGCTGGCAGAGAAGTGGGGGAAGAGTAAATATGCCAAAACAAGCAAATCAGTGGTTCAGGCAGATACCTCCACAATGTTTCTGAATGAATAATTTGACAGTGTCTCTCTTTATCTTGCTCATTTGGATGCTCTGCTTCTGTTGTCAGTGACTCATGCGTCCTTCCTTGTCTCTCCTCTGGGTGTGTGTTGTCTGTAGGGAACATCTTCGTGGTGAGCCTGGCAGTGGCAGACCTTGTGGTTGCCATCTACCCGTACCCTCTGGTCCTCACCTCCATCTTCCACAATGGCTGGAACCTGGGTTACGTCCACTGCCAGATCAGCGGCTTCCTCATGGGCGTCAGCGTCATCGGCTCCATCTTCAACATCACCGGCATCGCCATCAACCGATACTGTTATATCTGCCACAGCCTCAAGTATGATAAACTGTACAGTGACAAAAACTCCGTCTGCTATGTGATGCTCATCTGGGCGCTGACTGTGGTGGCCATCGTGCCCAACCTCTTCGTGGGTTCGCTTCAGTACGACCCGCGGGTTTACTCCTGCACCTTCGAACAGTCAGCCAGCTCAGCGTACACTATCGCAGTGGTTTTCTTTCACTTTATTTTACCCATCATGATTGTCACCTACTGCTACCTGCGCATCTGGATACTGGTCATACAGGTGAGGAGACGGGTCAAACCAGACAATCGGCCCAAGCTAACGCCGCACGACGTTAGAAACTTTGTCACCATGTTTGTGGTGTTTGTGCTCTTCGCCGTTTGCTGGGCGCCGCTCAACTTCATCGGCCTGGCCGTAGCGATCAAACCGGAGGTAGTGATCCCCCTCATCCCCGAGTGGTTATTTGTGGCCAGCTACTTCATGGCCTACTTCAACAGCTGCCTTAATGCCATCGTGTACGGTGTGCTGAACCAGAACTTCCGGCGCGAGTACAAGCGCATTGTAGTGTCGGTGTGCACGGCGCGCATCTTCTTCCAGGACAGCTCAAATGACGCAGGGGAGAGGCTCAAGAGTAAACCGTCCCCGCTCATGACGAACAATAACCAGGTCAAGGTGGACTCTGTCTGATCCAGAACACAGAGGGATACTGAGAGGACGTGAACAGATTTGCTGTGACTGACAAAGGAAAAAAAAAGAAAAAAGAAAGATGAGCAGGAAAAATACCAAATATAATTATACAACAGCTTCTATCCTCTAGGCTGTCCACACATGTCATACGGTGCTATCTGACCTCTGAACAATCACAGTAAGAACAGGGGTGCATATTATCTTTGTCTTTTATCAAGCACTTTTGTTTGACTCTGCAGTATCTGTAGTACAGTAAATATATGATGTTGGTTTTGTTTTTATGTTTACAGTGATGATATAAATGTATCATGCATCATATAAGTATTTATTTTGTATGAAATGTCATGTAGATGTATAGTAAGATATATCAGGTTCCAGTAAAGTGAAGACAAAATTTCGAGGCCAATAAAAAAAAAAAAGAAAAAGAAAAAAAAAGAAGCAATTTCTACAGAAATGGTGGTTGAAAATATAACCAGAAGTTTATAAATGAAGTTAATCAATTTTAGTAACCTCATTTGTGACACTGTAACACTGAGTGCAAGCAATGTGTGTTGCTGCTGTCTTTATTATGCCCTGCAATACTGTCCCTTTCATTAGGTGGAATATATATTTTAGTAAATAACAAAAATCTCTCTCTCTCTCTCTCTCTCTCTCTCTCTCTCTCTCTTCGCCACCTTGTGAGCTCATTATACTGTATGCATGGATATCAGGAATTGTTCATATGCAAAATAAAATCTGATATTGATGGAGGATCTTGCTTCAGTCCTGTGTTCAGTTCACTCAGTATCACTCACAAAATGCAAGTTTATTGCAATTCTTTTTTTCTTTTTTTTTTTTTGGCCATCATCATTCTCTTGGGACACAACCACACTACAGAGCAGTCCGAGCAGTCGGATGATCAGACTGGCTTGTTGGTTAATCAGCAGTTTAACCAGATTATCTAAACCAGATCATCTGGAGGTTAAACTGCTAATGAAAGAGTCCGCAATACACACACAACTACAGCAAATATGGTCTAATTACCTTAAGTCCACATGGTCTCATTGATAAAAAGATATATACTGCAGTATGTGTATGTACTACATTCTCCAGAATGGCTATAAAGGTAAATCAGCATCTCTCTAAAACAATTTTATCAACAACTGAACATGATAACTTAAAGAAAGATTTATTGCAGGGCTGTTGAATTAGATTCAGTTGACTTCAGCTAGGTGTGCCTAATAACCTGGAACCTGGGTGTATTTGAATTGTTCTTCTTGTTCTTTATGCACAAACACCTTTAAATTGTGTTATTTGGCTTGTCCTCTATTCATATTTTTTTGTTAAGGATCAACTGTGACAGCTCTGCTACAAATCTGCCTGAGTAATGTAATTGTATCCAAGGTGGAACACATCCAATGAATATTTTGTATGTCAGGCATTTTTCTCTGCGTCATCTGACTCACATGTGGTAAATCTGACACAGAAGCGATCAGGTTCTGTCTGCAAAGGAATCTCAAGGTGAGCATCTATAAAAAAAGTGTTGGTGGGCATTAGTGTCCTTCACAATGTGAAGGACTATGCAGTGTACAGACAAGCAGGGACTGTATAGCCCACTGTACAATAGTGTTTGCATGTCTGTTGCATAGCGTGCGTGGGCTTCCCGGTTAGTGGAACACAGACAAAGGCATCATGCATCACAGAGGAGAACGGCTCAACTATGCATTTGAAATCCACTTGGCTTACATAATGGCTGCTGACCATCATCCTCAAAGCAAGAGCTGAAAGAGCCAGCTTCCAGCGGACTCCCTGCCCCCTTCTCTATCCGATTAATCCCAAGAGCTGTGGTAGGAAACAACTGAATGGGATGGGGATGAGCAAATGTAAAAATCCCAGGGATTTACACTGCCCCCAAACAGAGTTATACTGTAATCTGGGCCCAAAGATTTTTATAGCCCAGGATGTACAACAAAATGGAAGAGAAAAGTCAGGTGTTACACTGGTCATGATTAGGTCCATCTTCCATTACTAATTCAATACCAAGAAAAGACAATAGAATGTATCTTTCACGGTGACAAGGCCATAGATCAGAGCTCCAGCAGAGCATAGCCTGCAAAAGTCAAAACACACTGAAGCCCACACCATCTTCAGTAAAGTTCTACAGTCTGTGTAAACTTTAAAAGGAAAGATCTCAATTTCTTGAAAAATGTTTTTGTTGGCGGAAAAATATTCACTGAGCACATCTTTACAATATCTATTCACTTGACTCGCCGCCAAGTGAGTATCTCCCCTGGAGTGGTGCTGGATAAAAACACATGAACTGATCAGTTAAGGGTCAGTACACCCAAAACACCATAACCCAAAACATGTGCTTTATGTGTCCATCTCTGAACCTTTGGTAAATTGGAAAATACAATAGCAGTAAAAGTAAAGACAACACACGACAGTGAGGTCTGAGTACCCAGCACATTTTTTTCTGAAGAGACAAATTGCTGCTGAGTGTTTCAAACATCACTTTCACTGGTTTGAGTGCCAAAAATAAATGAGTTGAGCCCCATTGTCTTGAGATGGAGTCAATAGTCTCAGCAATAGATATCTCAAAATGCTGGTAAACAAAACCAAACTGGACTCTTCATGACTGCTCAGGATTAAGAGGGGAAATTTGTTTTTTTCATTCATTCTTGACTTCAGACACTGCAGTACCTGTGATAAAATCACCTGAACTCATGGTTTACTTGCTATCTATGATGATGTGACAACCCTGTTGTAGTCTCAAGCTACACAACCACCCTTTGTCACGTGACCAAAGTTACATACTGAATGACACCTGACATAAATCACTGGACTCCAGCCAGAGGGGCACCAAACAAAAAATGTAATAAGAGTTCTGATAACAAAATATCAGCAAAAATAATTTTCATATTGCACTTCTTCACATCCATCCCTCCTGTACTTTGGTGCTAAATTACACAAGTTATTTCTGAAACGTTCAGCAGCATGACAATGAGCCACTTGTCAGAAGTGTGTCGAAGTGTGTGTAGAAGACACGATTTTCAATTCTTTTTCCACTGCTACTGTATATTTATTTCATTCTTCCCACCAAGAGTGGCAACTTCGCTCATTCAGTCATTTTCTCCCACAGGTTTTTTTTCATGCTTTCTCCAGCTTTCATCCAATAATGGAAGTTGTTTTCACATACCTTTTATCACATTTCCAAGCAGAGTGTGTCAGCTCTGGTTTCGGCCTGACCACACAAGAATGATATGGACCATTAGGAACATAGAGGGAGAAGAAAAGAGAAATATGCAGAGGGAAAAGAAAAAAGAGAGTAACGACATCAGGCTGGAGATGCTCTTATTTTATTGGATAAAGCAGACAAAAGCTTTTCAGTCTCTTTCAACCATTCAAAAATGAAACAAAAAAAAAACAAAACATGCATTGTGTACCTTTTTTCATAACTTCGCCAATATGGAGCTACATGTGTTATTCTCTTTTTCTTCACCACTCTGTAGCAGTAACTGATGCACTGGAAGAGTAACACATTTCAGCTCACGGCTTTCATTCAAAAACATCAGCAAACATTAGGGAGTTATTGCACACATTTAGTTTTGCTTCCCTCAACACCAAAATGACGAGTGAAGTAGCAACAGCCTGAATCACACAGGCTGATATGAGTGTTAAGAAAATGTGCAGAAATTGGGCTTACTTTGATACGTTCTTTGATAAATGTGGTTGTAAATCATTATACTGAATTGCAAAAATGATGATTGATTTCTTGCAAAATATTGGGGTTTATGATTTATGATTAACTTCATTCAACCCAGTCCAATCCCTCCAGTAATTCTGTCATCTCAAGTACAGTTCTCCTTTAGCCACCATAAGGTGTTTGTGGTGTGGTGTGTCCAAGTGTTACTTCAATTCCTCTGGTGTACCTCAAGGATTGGTGCTTGCTCCCCTTCTCTTCTCTGTATTCACTACCTCTCTTGGTAAGAGCATCTGCTTGCATAGTTTATCTTACCATTACTATGCTGATGCTACCGGTTATCTTGTTACCTGCTTTCTGTTCTTCCTGCTGGATGAAACCAAAAACCAAAACTCTACTTGATGCCATGTCACTTTTAACTACTGTATATAAAATCAGAAAGATTATCCACTTATCCCTTATCCATTTAGCTCTTTGTGCAGGTGCTGTTCATCTCACACCTTGACCACTGTAATACCCCTCTGGCAGTGCTGCAAGCATGCATGATAACACCTCTGCAAATGGTCCAAAACACAGCGACTCATATGGTCTTCAATCAGCAAAAAAAAGTCTCACTCAAAAAAAAAGAACCACCTCTATGCTGAATACATACAAATGGGTTATATTTACTTTTATATTGTTTTCAGTGGTTTGTACAGTAGCAAAATACAGCTGTAAGCAATTCCATTGGTTGTGCAAAAACACACCAGGAAGAGTGAGACAGAGGTCCTAGATGGAGTTTATATATCTACCTAGTGAGGCCCTGCAGCCACTAACATATGTACTATACTAATTATACACATTATAATACTATATTCTACTCACCTATGGAACCTGTGACGGGTTGATAAAAAGCACTAAATATTATATCACAGTATGGGAGTATTGAATGATCTGACCTACTTGATTTAAATGAATAAATGTAACTAATGTTAATTGCTATCTATTTGCTATAAAAGCAATACTTCACAAAGCTCTTACAGTGACATGACCATCCCTCTCTCAGTGACTGACAGACAACAGCTTTCTTAAATAGGCCCATCAATCTGCTGAAGGATCAACTTAGGTAGATCCATATTATACTCAGGGGTGTCTTAGTCTCTCTCTCACCATAAAGTAAATGGCAGTTCCACGTGTTCTGGTTAATATGATCAGTCCTCTACAAGTCAACATTCATCACCATTTTGCAAAGAAAACTTCTATAATCACCAACAAATTCTTGTGAATATAACATTAAACCCACTACAATCCTCCCATACTTGGAATTGCCCGTGACATCATCGATGACATAAACAGCAGGCAGGAAGTGTTTGGTTGCCACCCTCTTCACCTCCTGAAAAAAAGCATGTCGAGTATGGTAAGTGATAATTTGTGATTCAACCAAACTAAAGATTCAACAGTAACTGAACTATGGTTTTCTTAATTAGGATTTAACCAGGGAAGATTGATAGTCACTTGCAGTAGACTATTTCAAATGAAGATGGTTCTGGATAAACAAATCACAAGCATGGTTGAAAACACATACAATAAAGGGCAAATTGGACAAATGGTGTGATCTCATCCACTGTGTCACACACACACACA